TTAATTCGATTGCCTACATTAAAAAGTAGACGTATTATGTTGAACACTATGATGGTAATTAAAATACTAAACGGTAATATACCCTCGGACTTCCTAATTTCATCCATTAGAATAAATGTTCCTTTTCGATCAAGTAGATATTATCAACCATTATACGTAGATTTTCATCGCACAAATTTTTCTGTGGGAGATCCACTTAGTAAAATGTGTATTGATTTCAATTCTGTGTATTCTAACGTAGACTTGTGCATGAATATAGAACTAATAAAATCTAATATAATTATATTTTTAAATGAATAATAAAACTTAATAACAAACTGGCTGTTGAAGTAGATTTCTGTAGCTGGTTTTCTATCCCTTCTCATTTTCCATCATAATGCGGATTATGGTGTGTACGTGATCGCTACGAAAGTGGAGGTCGCCCCCCTCGATCGGCAGGGGTGGGAAAATGAGGCGTGGGAACGAACGTAAAAAAAATAGAAAATGTCGCTACATACTAAGAAACCAGTTGTTTTTGTAGCAGCCCTTCTGCTTTTAGCAATGGGAAAATAAGCTTTCAGTCCAAATTAAGTCGAATTTGTAAATAATACATAATTTTAGTAAAATATTATGAAATATTTGTAATTATCGGTACATATCAATTTGTCTAAAATGAAGTTGTATGAAATATATACCCTTATGGATATAATAACAGCAGTTTATGGTCAGTCACATTCATCGGTGGACGCCCTACAGGCATGTGTAATACCAAAAACATTGCAAAGATCGTGGTTTTCATGATGGTGATTGATGCTACGCAAATGTTTCGTAGAGGCTATATTTTTTTAGAAATTGGAAGTGCCTTGTGATTCTGTTACCGATGGCGTTGAAACAATTGTTGAACATGTTTGTCGTGGCATAAAGGATGATAATAACTAATTACCCTATTCAATGAGGGTTTTGTACCCATCAATTGTCGTAGTTCTCTGCAAGGTGTGTGGTACTTTACATATCAGAATCGTTTTCGTTTCACCGGTGAATGTAATAAACCCAATGCACGTATACAATACCGTTGAATACAGTTGGCTGGGTGATTGGTTTGTGGGTAAATATCATTGTGGCCAATAGAAAAGAATCATGTAAAGTTGAAAACACAGATGTTTCCCTAAAAATCGTGATGATTTGTGATGACACGTACACACCATATTCCGCATCATGGTGGAATATGAGAAGGGAATTTAATCTGCGCCATTGAAAAAGGTTATTTAAATCATTTTGGAGTAAATTGGCTTGTTTCTCAGAACTATGGGTAATGAATAACTTGACATCATCTGCATACATTAACAATTTAGAATGTACTACAGAAGTTGGTAAATCATTTATAAACAATAGAAAAAAACCGACCCGAGGTGACTTCCTTGTGGAACACCTGAAGGTACTTCAATCGATTTTGAGAGACATCCTTCAAACAAAACTAGCTGTGTTTTAAGTAACTAAGGTGATATCCATTTGACTACGAAAGCCATGTTGATGTGGACTTAAAATTGATTGAATTTTGTGAGAAATAACAGCAGTAATAAATTTTTTAAACAATTTTGGGATATCACTTAATTTTGCAATTCCTCTGTAGTTTGAGATGTTTGATGGACTACCAGACTTGTGTAACAGCACTATAAAAGATGTCTTCAATATAGTAGGAAAATAATCAAAATTTAAGGAATGGTTAAATAGCAACGTAAGAGGCGTTGCCAAAGTGTCAGAACAATATTTGAGTATTATGCTAGGTATACCATCTGGACCTGGAAGTTTAATTGGTTTTAGAGTACGTAAATTTTTAGCAACATCTTGGTAATTACAATCCACGGGACTCTATGGTGTATTTGGACCTAGCAACAGAATAATTAGGGTAGTTGCAAGCAAAGTATGTGGGTTTGTGATACAGAATCAAAAATAAGCCATCACTTCCCAAAAGCCCAAAAGATGCGGATTATGGTGCGTACGCGTTCCCTACGAAAGGTGAGGTCGCACCCTCGGTCGGCAGGGGTGGGATAGTGAGGCGTCGGAACGTTCGAAAAAAAGTAAACACTACATTTTTACAATCTCTAGCTGAAATAACTTAGGTTAGGTTTGGGGATGTGCAGTCACTTATGTGGCTGCAGCACTCTAAGACCGTTAGGTCAGTTGTGATCATCCACGAGAAGAAAAGAGATAAGGACAGATCTATAGGGGAGAGAAGATTGGGGATATAAAGGGAGATGAGAAGCTTACAGAAAAAAATAAAAATGTAAGATTGGAATGATGCCGATGGCTATAGAAATCAGACAGAAGATTTCTAATTATGCTGTAGATTAGAGCAGATTCGGTTGTTGAGAAGAAGCTAAGACTCGGTAGAAAATGAGCACCCACTCCGTCTCCTCCTCGTCAACCCAGAGTCTACAGTAATCAACTGCATCAAGATCCCATTTACAAGTAAAGGCCCTGATATTGCAGTGACCAGTAATGATTCCTTTCATTACTCTTATTTCAGCTTTCCTCAGGTTCAACAGTGAGTGCGTTCTTTTGGTAGACAGAGTCAGCCAAATAAAAAAAAATGTTAAACAGATGCAGGCAGAGGCAAGACAAATGATGATCATCGACACAAAACGTCTTTTGCAAATTGGTATTCCCTATGTCGTTGTTGACATATATGGATAACTATTCCGTAGCAATGTGTGACGAGGACGATGTCGAAGATTCTTCGTCATTATTTTAGTTGACGAATGAAGTGTTTGAACAATTTTTTTTAGGAAATTAAAAAAACACGACCGGACAAGAACAGGATACATCATTCTAGGATAGGAATTCAATAAGTAATGCAAATGTTTTGCCAAAACAAACAGATTCATAAGATTTTTTTACACAAATTCTTGTAGAAAATGTTAATAAAAGTATTGCCAAACAAGCTTTTCAAAATTCGGAGATTTTCATTTATAATTTTGTTTTTTAATTTTTTGGTTCTACATTACAACAACATTTTTGACATTTATTTGCACCAACAGCTGGGCCGATGCGGCTACCTTATTAAATATACATTGCAAACACATGACATAATGCCCACAGTGAAGGATACAAACACATTTTTGCACAAAAATATCCTCCAATATAAACAGCTGACCACAATTTTGAAGATGTGTTTTTTTGTTTTTATTGATATTATCGATAAATAGTCGACATCGTCGCATGAGTGTTACAGAATACCAAAGCAGTGTCGAAGTGATGTCGACAGAGAAACGTCGTCGACAATGACGACGACATACGGAATAGGGGTGATTATTAATGCGGCCTCTGCATTTTTTCATGTCGAAATGGTTAGATTATTTGACGACATTCCCGGGTTAATCAAAAAGATTGAAGATTTTTTAATATATTCATCAAATATTGAGCCACATTTGAGTTAGCTCTCTCAAATTGAGTTACCTAACAGGTATTTTCCTTTTTACATGAAATTTATAATTTTTTTAAGGTGGAAGACGATAAATATAGTTAGATTTTCGCAAATATCTATAAAACAGGATAAATATATTACATAAATAAAATATTGATACTTTTGCTACAATTTGACTTCGAGTTTTTTGGTTTGAGTCACTTCACTTAATAATGGCTACAATAGTATGAACGTGATCACTAAACTAAAATTTATATTTGCACAGCAGGGTATACCGAACATCTTCATGCCCGACAATGTTCCGCCTTTTACTTCAAAGGAATTTAGACATTTTTGTCGTGATTGGGGAATTGAACATATTAAATCAAGTCCTAGTCAAATGGCCTGGCTGTGCAAACAGCGAAAAAATACTATTAATATCTTCCGAGAGTAATTATAATCTCTACGTAGTTCTATTGCTCTACAGAACAACACCAAAAGGTAGCATGCCTAGTTCTTCCGATTTACTAATGTCTAGGTCATTACGCACCGAAATTCCCTCAAACTCAAGCAACCATGAGCCAAAAATAGTTGATAAAGGTGATTATTGGACAAAGTTAGAGACGATATTAAAGAAAAATAGAGAATAATATAATAAAAAGTCCAAGGGCTTGAAATCAATAGGTGCAGGCGATAAGGTCATGTTTAAGAAGACACCATGCAGCTATTGGGAACCTGGAAAAATTGTAGATGTGTGCAAAGATCCAAGATAGTTTGTAGTTGTAAATAATTGTGGGTATATGTATAGGAGAAGTCTAGAACATATCAAGACACTAATCAAATAGAGTAACAATTATGAGGAGCATTAATTTGAACAAAATAATAACAGCAATGAAAATAATTAACGTTTTTTTTAAAATAAGTGGTAGGGAGGTCAAGAAGCCAAAAATAAAAAAGGAAGGTTATTAATTTAAAAAAAAAAAATAAATTTATTACATTTATTTATATTATACAATATACTAGAATACCTAAAATTATTCTATACATATATATACTTTATAGAGTATTATTTTGAATTATATTATACTTATTTACCTATAAAAGGGAGATGTTGTATATGCTAATAGTTTTAGGTAACGTGAATTACACTGTTTGTAATTACTTACCACTATATATGATAATAGTTGCAACAGCCATAGTTTATATAAAATTAAATAAATGGATTTACTTTGGTTGTACATACTAAATGGAAAAAGACGGATTTCATTAACAGTGTTGAGATGAATTGGAATTAAAGAAGTGTATTTCTTTGTTCACCGTCCTCGTCGCCAGTTGTTGTGAACTGTAAGACAACTCGTACGCGAAGAGACTATATGAATGAAATGAAAGAAGAAGGTGTGTTCTTTTATATATGTGTAGCAAGAAACAATAATGTCAGATCTATGCCACGCTAATCTTTTTTGTATATTTGCATAATCAAATCCTACTGTAATTAATCCTTTTACTGAGTCTATATTATAGATTTTTACTCTAAACCTTATTTTAGTCATAACGCCATAACCCTAATTAATGTCTATACTAAATCTATATTAAAGATATTTACTCTATATATTTTAAGGAGAGCTTATGACAACTGAACGAAAATTGGATCGTGAGAATCAAGCTGAGCATATTTTGGAGGTAAAGTGGACGAATTATAAAATAGCTTTACAAAAGGTATTAATTGTAACGTTTATACTTTTAGATTCGCATATCTGATAACGGATTTCCATCCTTATTTTCAACAACCCGTGTTGTTGTTACGGTCAAAGATATCAACGACAATAGTCCACAGTTTGAACAACGTTTCTACAAAGTTCAAGCGCCATCTACGTCAGCTATAAACGTTTCCATATTTCAGGTAAATCCTTTAACAATTCTGAATTATTGTGTTATCATGGTAATAATATTTTATTAAAGATTCTCGCTACAGATAATGATATTGGTGAGAATGGAAGGATATCTTATGCAATTAAATCTGGGAAAGGGAAAAATAAGTTTCGAATTGATGCAGACACCGGATTAATTTACGCGGTTAAACCATTAGATGTCGATAACGAATATGAATTAATTATAAAGGCAGAAGATCATGGAGTTCCAAAAAAAAGTCAAACTGCACGACTAAATGTATTGGTAGTTCCAATATTAAAACAATCTAACATACCACCCAGTATAAAGACAATAAATAGTTTAGTTGAAGTCACAGAAAGTGATAAAGCCGGCTTTTTGGTTACTCTCATTCAAGCCACTGACGAAGATAGTGAACATCTTTGGTATAATATTAGTGGTGAGTATTACGTTTTTAATAAAAGAAAATAGTAATAATAATTATTAAATAAGGTAGCAATAAAAAAATAATACATAACAAAATAGGGGGCTATGATTAATTTCAACTTAATTTCTGCCAATGTATGTATGGACCCTGCTAATGATCTATGTTTATTAATACAATATTGCCACACATGTTTGGAGATATCCTATATATTGGCTAATTTAATGAGCTATTTCAGGATAGTCAATATTGAATTAGATTTAACCGTAATGGAATGACTTTTTTAATATATTTATATGTTTCAATTTCAACATGTATAACGAAGCCATTAGACCAATAAACATAATTCTCAAATAAAGGGACATATTTTAGTGTGTCAAAATACATATTAACAATTTAATCCAATTTTCAAAATATAGTTAAAAAATAACATCAGGTCGATTAGAATTAAAAATATATGATAAACGCTTTCTTACAAAAAATGACAACGCCAAATCAGTGGCGCAAAGAACGTAGATAAACATTCATTTGGGATGACTTATATGGTTATCAAAACAGAGCTTGTTGTTATCAAGCAAAACAACTAAGCAAAGAACAAGGTCCTCAAGTCGATTGCCGTCACAACAGGAAGTTGTCGATTCAGTATCTGCTTGGGTGTTATCGCAGGAATCATCCATGCCATCATCTTATGGGTAGAATTCCCGCACCCAGGTATGTAAAGAGAAAAGAGAAACGATATAGAGAGAGAGGTCCAATGGTACAAAAGATAACCCCTACATCGACAGGCTTATCGAACAAGAATTACCAGCATTCACACTGAAGCAGTGACCCAGGCAATGACCAATACTATGTGAATACAGTACTTGGAGTCCACCCAACACCTATAACAGCAGAAGAACGACACTGCGGAGACAAACGAAAGTGGTTTTAGCCCAATTAAGATCACGATGGTGCAGTAGCCTCAATTCGTATTGGGCCCGAATTAACAGCGCGGTACCAAGCATATGTCCTGCGTGTGGACTTGGATCTCACGATACGCTGTATCTCTTTAACTGCTCTCCTAAACCCAATCATCTGCCTCTGGAATCTCTTTGAACGCAGTCGTTACAGATTGCAACCTTCCTGAAAGTTGAAACGTAGGAGTCAGAACCGGAATAATTGAAAATAGAACAAACATGTAGACAGTTGCTACAACAATCAATCAAAGCGCCTCGGAAAGAAATTCAATACTCCTCTTAGTTTACCGAATGAAAACAAATTAACAAGCGTAGCAAAAATAAAAAAAGATAGTGTCTTGAATGAGTAAAGAAAATTATTCGACATTTAATTGTGCAAACCGCTAAGGCGCTATCAATCTTAGATTGAACCACTGTTCCAACACGGGTGTCATCTTTTTTATTAATTTATTTATATATTTTTTAACGTTCCTACAATTATATTAGATTCATATACAAAATCTACATTTGAATACACAGAATTAAAAAACATTTTACTAAGTGGATCTCCCATAGAACAATTTGTGCGAAATGAAACGCTTATTTTTTTTTTTCGAACGTTCCCACGCCTCACTTTCCCACCGCTGCCGACCGAGGGGGCGACCTCCCCTTTCGTAGGGATCGCGTACACACCATAATCCGCATCATGGTGGAATGTGAGAACGGAATAGAAAACCAGCTACAGAATCTACTCCAACAGCCAGTTTGTTATTAAGTTGCACTACTCATTTAAAAATACAATTATATTAGATTTTATAAATTCAACATTCTTGCTAAAATCGACATTAGAGTACACAGAATTAAAATCAATACAAATTTTACTGAGTGGATCTCCCATAGAATAATTTGTGCGATGAAAATCTACATATAATAGTTGATAATATCTACTAGATCGAAAAGGAACATTTATTCTAATAGATGAAATTAGGAAATATATATTACCATTTAATATTTTTAGTACCATCATGGTGTTCAACATAATACGTCTACTTTTTAATGTAGGTAACCGAATTAATTTTAACCTGCTAGTGTAAGAAGGCAACACAAAATCACTATTCCAATGTAAACCCCTCAGTGCAAAAAGTAAGAATTGTTTCTGCACTGATTCGATTTTATCGGAATATATTGCATATTGAGGATCCCATGCAACAGAACCATATTCTAATATAGGTCTAACAAGAGACGTGTATAGTTGTTTTGTTATATAAGGATCCGAGAATTCTTTGGCCCACCGTTTTATAAAACTTAATACACCATATGCTTTATTTACCATAGAAATGACATGATTGTTAAAGTTTAACTTTGGATCCATTAAAATACCAAGATCCACGAATGTTTCAACTGTTGATAAAACCGAACCGTTAATATTGTATTGCCTCATTAATGAAGAATTTCTAGAAAAACACATATGTTTACATTTGTTCAAATTTAAATCCATACAATTTAATCTGCACCACTGAAAAGGGTTATTTAAATCATTTTGGAGTAAATTGGCTTGTTTCTCAGAATTATGGGTAATGAATAACTTGACATCATCTGCATACATTAACAATTTAGAATGTACTACAGAAGTAGGCAAATCATTTATAAACAATAGAAAAAGAACCGGCCCGAGGCACAGTGGGCGAAAAGGCTCATCTAGCGGCGTTTAATTAATAGCGCTTAGGGATTTTGTATTTTATTTTTTGTAATATTTTTTTTTAGTTGAAAATAGATTAAGCTACAGAGTTAAACAAAAAAAATTAATGTATTTATATATTTTAATATTTTTTTTTTTTTTTTGAAACTTGCAATTTTTTTCATTTTTTAGACTTTGTTTATTTCATTCAGCAAAACATGATAAGGTTAGTATATTTAATGTTTCTCATTCTTCGGGGCCAAGAATATATTAAACTTTAATAATAAAAACATTTTTTAAACATTTATTTATTATTTTTTTAATAATATTTTTGGCCTTATTAAGACTTCACATATTTCAGTTGTTTTCATAACAAAAATTTAATTATAAATAAAAACAGGAAAAAATACAAATCGAAATAAGAAACTATTATTACTATTGTAATAATAGTTTGTTATTCCGATTTGGATACACAATGTTCTGACAAAAGTTGTAAAATATCATTATGGGCATTTTTCTTTTTTTGGTTGCTTGTGGTTTGCGTAAATTTGAAATCAAGGGATCTGATTAACACAAAAGCGCTTGCATTAAGTCTTTCATTGTATTTAATCGGGATGTATTTCGCGTATGGTGCTCACGGAAATTGCGGCAATCTTCGCCGGGCTTCCATTTCCGACATTTTTCCTAATTGAAGTGTTGATACTTTAATTATATGGGCCCCATGTATTAAGATTTTATGTATGGAACACGGCATATAAAACCAAGGATACAGTATGATAAAAATTTCTGCGTTTTGTAAAGCATATTCCATAAAAGATTCAATATCGATTTTGAGCCCGCAAGAAATGAGATTCTGCACACTCCGTTCAGCAACATTAAATTCTGATAGAAAAATGAGCTTCTTCGAGGCGCGTAACAATATGATCTACCATATCTTGTAAAGGCACTTGAGCTGAATAGTTCGTAAATTGGACTCCATTTGGATAACATTTTAGTTTCGTTTTGTTGGAGCATTCGTCAAACTTCTTATCGGGTGTTCCACGATTAGTCAGTGGATTAACTTATAAAAGTTATCCGTCTAACCACTCCTTGTTGTTTTCTTCAAATTTGTGGCGGCTTCTATGGTCGAATTTCCATTTCTCAGCCAATTTTGCTACAAATTTTCTATTTTTTTTTTTTTTTTTTGTTTATTAGAAGATCTTTATTAGCATTGCACATGTGGATATTAATAATATTATTAAATATATGAGTTTCAATGACAGAAATTTTTTTAGTACACACAGGCTCGTTGCGCCATAGTAAATAAACTTCTCGTCTGAGCATCGACATTTTTCCTAAAAAAATGCAATATCTTGTAAAGTTGCAGGTGGCTGCAGATCATTTGTAATCACAAGATGACGTAGTAATTTAAAAAAACACATTCTAGCGCGAATACACACGAATATCAGAAGTTCCGGTCTATGGAAGTCTTACTTTGGATTTTTTTCAAGCAGATGAGTGGTATAGTACACTTGAATTATATTTTTTCTACAACACTTAAGCACAGGTCACAAACAAATTTTTTTTAGTTAATACATACCTCTAATAATAAATAAATCAACTTTTCATTCACTTAATTGAGACAAATGCTACTTTAGAGAAAATTTGGCAATGCAAAGAAAACACGTGTTGAAGCTTAGTTATACATAGGCTGAAACATATGTTGTGTTTGACAGCTCACAGCTATTCAACTAGATCATATCAATCAGAATAGAATCGATATATCAGATCAGTGGGATAGTAGTAATCGATAGAGACACAATTTTGGCCCAATTAAACACTTTGAAAATTGAATTAAACGACGCTAGATCGTCCATTTCGCCCACAGTGCGAGGTGACTTCCTTGTGGAACACCTGAAGGTACGTTAATCGATTTTGAGAGACATCCTTCAAACAAAACTAGCTGTGATCTATTTTGTAAGTAAGATGATATCCATTTGACTAAGTTTAGACTGAAACCCATATTATCTAATTTATATAATAAGAGTTCATGGTTAACCCTATCAAAAGCTTTACTAAAATCTGTATAAATGGTATCATTTCGCTGAACAAATCCCTTTATTACAATTGAAGTAAACTCTATAAGATTTGTTATAGTTGAAAGACCACTACGAAAGCCATGTTGATATGGACTTAAAATGGATTTAATTTTGTGAGAAATAACAGCAGTAATTAATTTTTCAAACACTTTTGGGATATCACTTAATTTTGCAATTCCTCTGTAGTTTGAAACGTTTGATAGACTACCAGACTTGTGCAACGGTACTATAAAAGATTTCTTCCATATAGTGGGAAAATAACCAAAATTTAAGGAATAATTAAAAAGCAACGTAAGAGGCGTTGCTAAAGTATCAGAACAATAT